AAATATGACTACAGAAAATGAAGATTCTTAAGCAAAATTGGTAAAGATCAACTCTGTGAATAGAATTTTAAATTTCGAAACCAAAATACACGTAGACGGATTATTAAGGATAATGAGTAAGTAGCCATTTTGCTCAATATTTATTTGATAATATTATATGAAAAACGTCATGTATCGAGTCCTTTTTCTGGTTCTTCTTCACGCATATCGTATACTGACCTTAACGCATTATTATCGTATATCTGAATCACATGCTTAAAAATTGCCCCGAATAATTTGCAAATTTTGCCGGTTTATTTTACGGGAATTATTTTGAATGTAGTATCAAAATAATCCAATAATAATGAGTTATTCTTTGGCATATTCCATTTTGTAAATAGTGCTCCTAAAAAGTGCATAAAATGCAAGTTTAGTGATAATAAACAGGTAAATAAACGATGTTTTGTTGAGTTTTACAAAAACCTAGATATTGATAAGCTAATACTCTGCGAACAAAACGATTAAAAATTCCAGTGCAGTACCGGTTTGGAGGATCATGCAATAATTAAAATGGATACCGAGTGTATAAAATGTAAATTTAAAGGGAATCCAAAAGACTCTAAAAATCCAGTATTTGTCTATGACAGTTGTAAATAAGAAAACATTTGCAGATGCAGTCAGTCTTAACAGTAGCTGCAACACAATTACAAAACAGACAGAACAATATATACCAGCTGTTATCATTAAACCCATAAATCCACGAAACTCAGAATCTACAATGAGAGAAATTCAAAATAAAAACAACCACACTGCACTTTTAGGCTATTTTTAGGCTCTTGAAATATTATAAAACTTTACTAAAAAATTGCCATTTAAGAATAATACAAGGTGCTTTGTTGGAACAAAGTCAGCAGAGCACCTCGGTTTATTTTTTTTTTCTGTAAACATCTACTTATGTCACATGTTTAAGCTCTTTTTAGGCTTTTAAAATATTGTAAATCTTTTCGAAATAAATAGTGTTTTTTTTTAAAATACAGGTTGCTTTGTTGGAACAGATGTACTTTACTGGCTTCGTCTAAGCTAGCAAAAGCAGCCTGTATTTTTTAAAAATAATATTTTAAGAGGCTTAAAATATTGTGTCGTTGTTTTTGGAAAACACTTAAAAACTGAGGTGCTCTGCTGACTTCGTTCGAAGCTAGCAGAGCATCTCTTGCAAAAAACGAGTAGCATAAAAATAGCTTTAAAATATGGAATAGGTTTTAACTCAAAATTGCCTAGGTGCGCTACTGCCTTTTTTGACATTACAAATTAGCAATAAATATCCAACATAAAAAAATCCTAAAATGTAACACTTGCCTTCCTTCATCTAGTGCAGTCCAACGATTATTTTTGTTTGCAGGTATAATCGACGCACCTCGAAGGACTTTGAAATTTTGGTGCTATGTAAGGTCAACCTAAAGACATTTTTGTTTCAATGTTTGTTTATTAATTTGTTTTTTTTTATTAAAATAAAATATATTTTTTGTAAATTCTAATTTTTTTAAGGTTCATATTTATAGAAAAAAAGAAGTTTATTTTCTTCAACATCTTCTTGTATCAACCATTTGTATGCAAGTCCGTAATAGACACATAGTTGATATTGATATTAGATTCGGAAGTATACATAATACCATGGTATGACATTGTCAGTAATTCGTATTCGTGATCCGAAAAAATGGATTCGAATCACTTGATTCGAATCCTTTTTTATTGCAAAAAGGATTCGGACATAGGATCCGTAGTGTATATGCATGACGATTTGGGTGTAGCGGTGTTAATGTAATTACCACATTCCTTTCATACCTTTCGCATAGTCTTTCCAATGTTTTCATAAGGCTAATTGGTTGGTATGTTCTTGGGATAGTGTAATTCTTCCTTCCAGGTTTGGGTATAAATACTACTTTTACCTCGATCCATTTTTGGGGGATATACCTTAGAGCCAACGAAGATCTGAATATACTTACCAGTTGCGGTGTGAGTTCTTCCAAACCCCACTGAAGTAGGGCCTATTATACACTTAAGATAATACTGTTATTTCTGAAGTCATCCTCTGGAATAGATTCATTAGACAAGCCTGTATTTACAGTAAACATAAGAGAGTCTACAGCATTATTGAAAATGTGTTTTTTAAATTCGCATTTCTTTACACAATTAACACTAACACACAACACTTACTTATAAACAAACTAACCTCTTGAAATACTTAAAATAGCAATTATTTTATAAATAAACCCTTTGAAACAACCTCAAACTTAAAAGACAAATAACAATATGGCCACTAACCTTTTCCAACTTCTAAACAAAATTCGACAAACTTTTACTAAAGGTCTGTTTCAACAACGATCAGAAACCAGTCAATGACACCAGGATTCTGCGCAGTAGATTATTGGGACCACCAACTTATCTACTGCGCAGAATCCTGGTGTCAGTGACTGGTTTGGGATCGTTATTGGAACAGACCTTAAGTACTCGTATCATTCATGGCATGTCACTGTGATGACCATTCACTAATCATTGCAAAGTGTTGTTTGGTAATTTCAAAATTTGGTTTCTGCGTCTGTCGCCATCTATGACGTCTCTGTACTTTGTTCTAATGGAATAGACTTTACGCTAAATTAGTGAAGTCATAATTTTGGTTCTACTGTCAATTACAGTGACAGATGCAGCGATAGTAGACTTGTTTATTACTTAGAACATTTATTCAAATGTTAATTATTAATTTTTTAAAAGTGTTTACCTAAATTATTTAGTTCTTGAACTTTTACAAATTTATTTTTAAAGTTTGTAGATAAATGCATCGAGTACTTATATAATTGTTTAGTTTTCAGCGATAAAATTAACATAACATCTATTTCTTTTTACACTTTTCGATAGTTTGAAACAAAAACAAAAAATAGTAAAAATGTATATGTCAAATTTAATGACAGAATAGTTGGAGTTAAAAGTTTAATTAAAAGTTAGTTATGTCCAAAGAGGTTAGAAAGGGTAGAGGTAACATAGGAAGCATTTCTCGATGCGCGAATTTTGCCAAAACCGAAAAACTGGGTGGAAGGAGTAGGGAGGTGTTCTGGGCCGGACTTAAATATTTGTATTGTAGTACTTAATTTTGGTGGGTAATTAAAAGATGAAAAATTATGAGACGTTTGTTTGACTTTATTTGTTAGCACGATTCATGTATGATGAGGGCAATAACACTTTATCAATATATAACTAGCTAAGGGCCGATTCCACCGTTGTGTCAAACGAAGTTTAAATTATTAAACGAAGATTAAAATGACATTGTTAATATAAAAATGTCATTTTAAACTCCATTTAGTAATTTAAACTTCGTTTTTGTTAATATAAAAATGTCATTTTAATCTTCGTTTAGTATTTTAAACTTGGTTTAATAAAACGGTGAAATCGACCCTAAGTAAAAGTTAATAAGTACTTTTTGCTCGAATTACACACAAGATTTTTTCTAATAACGGTGTTATTTTAAAAATTAAACGCAATTTACAGCTTCTCTTTTTTTGTTTTTAAACGTAATATCATATTTTCAAATGTGAAATGTCACTATTCATTGCCTCTTTTTCGATATTTGGTTTTTTCGATTTTTCGTTTTTTGGATTTTTGGATTTTTCAATTTTTTATTTTTAGATTTTTCAATTACTCGATTTCTCGATTTTTCGATTTCTCGGTATCTCAATTTCTCGATTTTACGATTTTTCAACTTAGAAACCAAAAAAGAGGCAGTTTTATTTATTTTCATTTCGTAACTGGTGACATAATCAACTTTTCGTAATCAGTTGCATAATGTTCTACTTTATGCAAATGTCCATATAAATATTCATTAAATTTATTTAAGCCAAAAATTATTGCAAGGATCTCTCTTTCAATTTGGGAATATTTTTGTTCGGACTTTGATAAGGTACGCGAAGCAGAAACTATAGATTTCTCAATAATTTTTTTTTTTTCAAAAACATGTCACATCATGGCCCTTATTCCCACATTTGATGTATCTACGAATAATTTAATCGGCTGAAAATGCACAAGAGCATAATTTATTTTTGATTTATTCCAAAGATTCCTTGCAAAAATTATCCCAAATCTATTTCACCCATAAAAAATTAAATAAAAAAAAAGTCCTAAAAAAAATTACTTCCCAAAAAACGGTCCTCAAGCCAGGTCCCTCCATTTTGTGGCGATAGTACTGTTTTTTTTTATTGTGATTATTTTCTTCGCGGAAACTTTGGCTTTACACTTAGAGTAACACTATTATAGAGAATTACTAAATAAATAGTTTTGTGAAAACTATTGAAACCAGTTGTGAAGTTTGAAACGAATAAATTGGCAATGAAATTGATATTTTTGTATTTGATTGTATGTTTCTCTTTTCACTTCCTAAAAAAGATTCCCTATGAAATAAGAAATAGTAAACAGTTTGAAATAATAACCTTTATTTGCTACTTATAACATGTACCAATGACCAAGTCCGATTCTGTTTATTTTCAAATCAACAAATATGGACGTCGACAGAATCTTTAAAAAATAAATATCTCACCGAAATAAATATAAGTTTCTTTTATCTCCATCACATTTCGCAGGTTTATTATAAATAAAGCTTTTTACAACACATCTTGGCATTTTCAACGTTAATTTCCAAAATTTAAGTCACTAAAATACCAAATTAATTCTCGTTGACACATTAACTTTAGATGGACAACGGTCTGACATGTAATGTTCTCAACTGTGATTGGTGGGTGTGAATCATTTTGGAATGGGATTATGCGCAGTGTCTTATGTTCCATCTAAGGTTTGTATAATCTAAGGTTATGTCACAGAGATGAAAATTATTCCGATTTATGGGCCTTTTATTCAAAAAAATATGCTAAAAAGGGAATGGCTAAAGGCAATGGCCCCCCCCGAACATTCGTCTTGGAGCCGCCTTTGACACTAATATGGCATATATGGATACTATTTAATTATTAGTACTAACATACCTTTTGTGAGTGGTGATAAAACTAATAGATGAACGGAAGAGCTGCCAGCACTTTCTCCAAAAATTGTTACGTTATTGGGATCTCCTCCAAAATTATGGATATTCTTTTGAATCCATTTTAGTGCCAAAACTTGATCTTTTAGTCCAGCATTGCCGGGAATCTCGAGGGATGGATCATTCAAACTAAGAAAGCCTATATAAAAAAAGATGGTTTAAATCGGCGAATACCAAATAGATGAATAATAGTTTAACTCAGCAATGTGTTAAGAGAAAGATAAAAGATAGTACTTTTTTTCTTTGGTCTGTGTTGTCACGTTGCGTTTAATAGTATGGTTAGATGTTTTTAGTTTATACTGTATGTTAACTATGCCGTCGATCCTGATACGAAGCTGTGATGTATTTAAAAATGGTTACTTCGTTAAATTCTGGTATGCTTGTGCTTTTTAAATCATTAGTACATAAATCGTAATTTTTTAAATGCCATAAACACATTTTAACAAATATATCTTGTTTTATCCTTCCTCTTATTTCATTTTAAACTTCTTCAGTATTATTTTTTTATAAATAAGCATTATTGTACAATAAATGGAAACATAAACATTAAAAATATACTGAAATATTTTTTTACCTATACAAATATTTTGTACCTAAAATTCCTAGTCTGAAATTAACTACTACAAGCACTATATCTTCAATCATTAAATTATCAGGACCATACAAATAACTTCTATTGCTTCCATAAAAATAGGAACCTCCATGGAAGTAAACCATAACCGGCTTGACGTTATTGCTACTGTTTATCTAAAAAAAAAAAACAATTATTTTTAAGCAAATATTCGTCATTTCCTTCCACTATATTGAAAATGAAGCTTGATATTAACTTTACTTTTTAATTTTATTATTACTGATTTTTATCATTTGAGTTTGAGTTTTCTCTTTAATAAACATAAATATTTATCCAAGTTCTGTGAATAGAATAATTTACAAAGTAAGAGGGGAAATGTCAGTGTTCATAGGATTTACCTAATGCCTACTGTATAAAAATAAATATATTTATTTTTAAATTTTTGTTTCTACCTTCTTTGTATATACGTTTACGTGTAGACAATTATCTTCTTTACCCAGTGGAAAGGTCGTAGGTATTAGTACCGATGGACTTTCCCAACCTTCTTTGGTTCCATCCCATGTTCCCTGCCATGGCTCTGCTGGTTTAGGAGCCTAAAATTTAAAAGAAAACATAAAATAGAGTATGTTAATCTCATTTTAACGTGTAAGGGTGGTCCAAACAGATTTATTTCTATATGAATAATTTTTTATAATAGAAAGGACCATTTATATTATTTTTTTTAATAGTAAACAATAATCTTTTGTAAATTATAATTTCCATTAGCAACAGGAAAATCTAATAAATCATAAACAATCAAAGAAATTGAAGCTGGAATAATCACAGGGCAGTAGGCTGAGACCACTCCTATATCTCCTACACTAGTGACCAAATACTGGACCAACACAGCTTTTCAATCTTAGTTTATAAATTTCATTAAGATTTTATGAGACTAGTCATTAAATCCTTGATGAAGAGGTGAGATATTAAAATGAATTTTAAAACCACTTTATTTTTCTGGAATAGTACGAAGATAATAAAAATGCTACATAAAAAGGAGAAGATATGGTGAAAACCATACAGGCAAAGATAATTCGTGAGTACGGGCATTTAAAAAGAAAAGAAAATGAATCAATAATTAAACAGAATGAAATGGTACAATTCTAGAACAACAGACCTAGTGAAATACCGAAAATTCGTTGGGATGACCAAATAATAAATGAAATAAATAAGATGGGGATTGATAGATGGAGAGAGTTGGTCATAAACTTTTATACTTCTAAAACATCGTTAAACAAATATCTTTTAAATATAAAATATCAAATGTTTTTAAAAGTTTTAGTTAACTTTAAACTTTCACCACATTTATATGCCGCGTTTGAATCTCCACATCGGATGCATCTGAGATGTAAATTTTTGTAGATGTAAACTTTTTTTAATAAATAAATAATTTTTGTTACAATACATTATGGAATTATTTGCTGGTGTTTTTCATTTGAATTTCATTCAGTAATTGATATACGTCTTATGCCTGGATTTGTTTTTGCTAACTTTATAATAAGATAATTCTTATCACAAATAGCTATCAATATGATTAACATTGCCTAAGGATATGAAAGAAAATAAAATAAAATAAAATAGAACATAAAATATATACAAAAATATTTGTTGACCTAGTTACTTTAGTGAAATAATCTTTATAGAAATATAGAGCACTCAGTCTATGACATGAAATGGATTAAATTGAATTTAAACTATTTCTATGAATTTAAAAACATTTTTTAGTTAGTAAGGTTTCTTTTGGTATCAGAGCTCTCTTGCGAGTTAAAAATAGTTTCATTTATAATTTGTAATTCAATAAACTACAAAATAATAATCTGGCTAAATTAAACATTAACTGAAATAATTAAAAAATATAACTTTAGCAATATTCAAAATTTGTTACCGGTGTTATATGGAAACATTTAGCTAATAAATACTTTTTGAACCTGGTTCCTCTATTGGACTGACAACATCGGTAGTGACATACCTAATTAAAGAACATTCTCTTGTGAAATTCAAGGAATGATGGGACCAAACAAGAAACTGCAGAGTTGCTAGGGAGCTTTTAAGTTATCCTGTCAATACTACAGCAAACACATATTTGACTACGACTAGACAGAATCTGCGCCTGATCGCACGTTTTCTGGTCACTAGCAAGTACGGAAGCATCTCCATATCATGAAGCTTAATACTCAGAACAGCGGAATGCGGATTGCGTGACCAGAGATTCGCCAGAAATTAATCATCGTACTCATAACGGCGAATTTCGCGTTAAATTTAACCTAAAATACCACTAAAAACGAAGAATTTAGACGCAGACGACATTTGTTGTTTTATTGTATTCGTTAAATACTTTTTGAGTTTTGATTGAATTTTTAAAAAATAAATCAGGAAGGTGAAATAGTTTGTTAGGTTTTCTGTATGTAAATAATAAAAATAAATTAAAGAAAAAGAAGCAACCACGACGTTAGTGGGTCAGGCAGATTTTTAAATAGGAAAAACCACTGAAAAAAGGAGCATTTCACAACATACATACAAGCAATGTTATATTTAAACTTTAGTTTATCCCAAAATAATCATATTCTGTATTAATGGCAAAAAAATAAGAAGGTATAAATCAAAATAATAAAAACTTATGTTTATATTGATATAAATAACTAAAGTAACAACAAATAACAAAATAAATCGTAAAAACTATGGATGAACCTTGATGAACAAAGTGAGATATACTAACCGAGAGAGATAACTTTATAAAATCCGCCAAAAAGTTAAAATAATTTCAACTTTTTGCGGTGGAGTTAAAACATTCGCAAGAAAATTGCGCCATCTGGTGTTTACGTTTATTTAGACCAATCACCTCAATTCCGCAAAATAAATTTCCACTTTTCGTTGTTGTTGAGTACTAAGCTTCAGGCTGTCAGAATTTGCACTCTGTAGAAGGTGCGAAGATTTGTGTTCGGCGAGTATCGGCAGATATAAGAGAAGCACCTCTTGGCGATGTTGTCAACAACATTAAATCTGTAGGCTGGCTCTCTACGCAGGAGGTGCCTATCATCTTGGGAAGATGCCCAATGGGCCTAGTGACCTCTTAGTACCGTATTGTAACCCACCCTCAACACGTTTCAGATATAGATACAGACCTGTTTCGGGAATTTTTAATAGTAGGTATTGTTTATTTAACTAATGATGAATTTGCGTTACTTTATGGACGCACGGTATATTCGTTTATATTTACAAAGAAACCGTAAATTTTAATTTTATTTTCTTTTTCAAGTTTATTTTATTATAGTTTTAGTTTGTAATAGAAAATATATACTATACAACTAAAGTGGATTATCCATATGGTACACAGACGATTGAGACTCCGCGCCTACGGTATTGTGTGATATCTGCACTATCCAAACTATTTCGTATGAGGTGTTATGCATTAGAACAAATATATTTACAAAAAAATTAGGATTTTTTCTTTAAAGACACCACCAAAAATATATCCATTAAAACTTTTCTCGCGGACATCTGGTATAATTTGCACAAAATAATTGATGATAAAACTCAAATTGGATGTGTCAACTTATTAATAAAGAAAAAATATAATATTAACAATTTTAGGTGATGATATTTTTTTTAAATTAATTTTATTAATTAAAATTGATTCAAAAATTCATATGCAGGATTCCTTACTCGACCATTCACTGTTGGATTCTAATTAACAGTACTGTTCCTAAAGTGGCGCTGAGAAACAGTAACAAATCCTACACAGAACAAGAGGTTAATCACCTTAGGAGTTGATGCCGATTACACCTAATAAAAAAAATAATTTGATACCTTAAATCTAAGTTCTCCGACAGGTGCTTTGGCGTATGGTATTCCGCTAAAACTATAAAACGTTCCTCCGTGATAGTCCTTTTGGATTTTCCCGCGAACTAGACCACATGATGTTGAAACAACTAAATTTTCTGGCATGTTTTCAAGTTCAAAGCTAATCAATTACTGTAGGTGGGTATAACTAGTAATGTATTTGGTCAGTGGACTTCGATTAGATAAGAGAAGTCTCTAATTTTACTAGAAACACGAATTATATCACTGAGGAAGCTGAATAATTATCTTGTATTTTGTATTTTGGGCAGTGGCGTACCGAATGAAAAGGTTGAGAACATCTTTATGCAAGATTATAGGTATAATATTCAAGCAAGTAATTTCACTGTTTTTTTATTGTTAATGGTTCAATTATTGCGATATAGTTTATCACCCAAAGTGCCTTTCCTCAGATTAAACAGTATTCAGTGCGAAACGTATTTAATTTACATATACAGTGATGCTTCATTCAGTTATGAATTCATATTTTAAGATCAACCAATTTGAGATTCTAATTTACTGGAAGTTATTGTTTATTCAGAAGTTTCCAGTTGTACCATATTATATTATTCAATACCTTCATGTAATGTTTTATGGTAAAAATAAATTAAAACCTTTTTTAAATACGTATCCCGATTTTAGAAGATTACCCAGACAACACACCAAATCCTTTGGATATCTACTGAACATCCCAATATCCACTGAATGTTCAGTCCATGATGGATATCTATTTTATATCCATGAGCTGTAATTTAGAGACATACAAATTTCCATAAATAATAGTAATTATATAGCAAATTATTAAAAAATTACGCCATTGTGCTCGCCATTGTGGCTAATAGTACCGTTCAGATATTTAAAATTAATTTTTTTAAGGTGTATTAAATATCCCATGGACATCCACTAAATATATCAAAGTCTAGGCGCGAACGCAAACCATCGTGGATATCCACTAGATGTAATTTTTGATTTTGCTTACTAAGTATAGATGGCGATACTACTTTCGCATCTACTCATGCTCAACCCACCGTAATTGAGTTCGATCGAAATTTGTTTCACAATCAGACTCCATTAGAGACTGGAGTCGAGAATTTTCATTTATTGCTGAAGAGTCCTAATAAGGATAACTTTCTCCTTAGTTGGCAAAATCAAAGGCAGTGTGTTGAAAATATTTTTTATCTCTATTTTCTTTCGACTTTATTCAATAATCATTGGTTACCGAGTTGGTTACTTGAATGAACCTCTACTAAAGATAAATATAAAATATTTTGCTGAATATCCGAATTCTTCTATATCCTGGGATATAGACGGACATTTGGTTGGATATCCATATTGGATATCCACATAATATATTCTGTGGATATCTCTAGGATTTCTTGTATTGTCTGGAAGATACTCATTAGATATTTTGCTGGATATCCATATGATATCTTCTATATTCTGGATATAGACGAACATTTGGATATCCATATTAGATCCACGGAATATTTCTGATATCCTGTGAATATATTGGATATCCACAAAAGATATTCTGTGTATATTTCTGGGACTACATTAAAGTGATCATGAGTAATTTACAATGAGTATCTGAGTATTAGTACATTAATGAATAATGTTTTACTGAGTACTTTGGCAAATTTTAGAGAGTACTCGTAAAAATCGAGTATGAGTATTTTAAATAATTCTAGTTACTAACTAAAACTGTTACAAATATGTATTAAATCCTTGAAATCTTCGTTAATTCTTTCTAATTTTCTATGTAGATTAAAGTCTGTTTTTTTAATGTATATCTACGTATTTGCATTTACGATGCTGTGAATAATAATTAATCATTTAAAACCCAAAATTCAAACTTATATAAATGGAGTCGTATTTATATAATCATTACATTTTTGGACAGCCAGCACCAAACACGAACTCATCAAATCAAATAATACTTTGTAATCGTAACAACTCACACCACACCTATGCTTTGTACAAACTGTCTAGAAAAACAAAAAATGTAAAATAATAATAGTAAGCAGTGTAGTTCTATAAGTAAGACACAACAAAAAAGAAAATGTGAGACTTGCCTAGGCCGCTATTTATACTCGATACTCGTCAACTGTAGGAATCAGGAGTACCGAGTACTCTAAAATATTAAGTACATTTTTAGAGTACTGAGTCCCATCAGAACGAAAGTACTCACGAGTACCAATTACTGAGTACTTTGAGCACTCAAGTGTAATTTTAAGTACAAATTACTCGAATACTGCACAGTAGTGCACAGCTTTGGCAGTAAGATGAATTTCATTTTAACGATTAGAACGATTAGAAGAATAACAACTATTTTTAAAAGATTAAAAAAATCTTCCATGATAACACCTACTTATTTGAATGCCCGGGTTATCAACTTTAATTTTATCAAAAAATACTTTCTACAGCAAACATAATTAAACAAAAAATGTTTTAAACAAAGACTATCTAATCTTAATTGATAAATACACAACTTTTAAAATGTTTCTATCTAAAACAAATTTACCACTTTTCTGTTGTTGTATCACATTAATTGCATTTTTTATTTTATTACATAAGTGCACGTAATTGTCACTAATTTTACACTAAGTATCTGACAAGTTATATTAGTTTTACTATTGTATAGTTTTTTTTTAACTTTCAATTTTGTATTGTTTCTGGTTGTATAATTATTGTACAATCAGTTATGAGGTTGGACTTTTATCCTTTAAAAAATAAATGCATCAAGTGGTAGGCCGTAACCTGTCAGTGAAAAAAAAAAAAAGAATAATTTGTGGTTTTAGGTTCAATAAAACGTAGAAGTGCACAATTTTGACAATTTCAAAATCCCTATTGTTCTTTGATTATTTATTTATTAAAATTATTTTAGATACGAGTACATTGATTCTTCCCTGTCACATTTTATACTTTTCATACAGGCCTGATGATGGTCTAAAGCAGCCATACTCAACCTGCGGCCCTCCAAGCTTTTTTTGCGGTCTCAAACACTATTATTAAAACTATAGGTTTCTGTTTTTATAATCTTAAGCGAAATGCGAGAAAACATTTATTGGTCGCAACGCTAAATAGCACGTTAATTTTTAAATAACGTTTGGAATTTTGTGGGGATACTGCAAAAAAAGACAGCTTCACTTTTGGAATTTCCGAGTTAAGTATACTTTCTAAAAGTGGGAACGAAGTCTATATTCATGATAAATAGGTTGCAAATAAAAACTAAATCCATATTAATACATTAATAATAAGCACAAAAAAGATGGAGTGGCATTTATATCAAATGTTCAATTACTAAGTGTGTACCAAAACCAGATAATAGGCATATAACTTATTTTTGCAAAATATATTTAGTCTGATTCCTAATAGTGTTTCTGCCAAAACAAGATAAAGGCTAGAACTGAGGGGAAACCACTAAGGTCAAAACAAAAATTTTTATGTGATTTCGGTGATTTCACTGAAAATCCACCTTAATTTTATACGATGATCTTTTTTTCTCGATATTTACGGTTTTGAGCGACGAATTGATTTCGGCGATGATTTTCACCATGATTTTCGTTGATTTTGGAATTTTCCAGAACATTTGTAGTTATTTTCAGTAAAAACGTACTAGTATTTCGGGAGTTATTTTTGTTGAATGGGTTTTTTGAAATACTGCAAAATTGTTCCCAAGCCATTTGTTATGACTAGAGCCATCTCTGATCTTTCTCGATTGTTCCGAAATCCATGAGTATGATTATGTCACCCTTTCTTTGCGCGGTACAACTAACCTTCATCAACCACTAGATAATAACACGTGATGTCCGAATCTTTGTGGTGAACGAGTGATTGGTCAAGATGTAACGAGTGATGGTCAAGCTGTAACGAGTGATTTGTCAAGCTGCAACGAGCGAATCTTTAGGTGAAAATAAAAGTATTAGTGGTAACAGATGAATTTGAATTTTAACCATACTTTCTTATAGACAACTAATATCGAAAGATTCAGCTATCCAAAATACATTCCACTAGAAAAATAGATTTGATTTATCAATGGGCGAGTATGGCATTCAGATTTATATGCCAAACTCGCACAGTATTTATTCAGAGGGGTGCATGAAAGGATGAAACAAAGTTTTGAAAATACTTACAAAAAAGTGTGTTTTATTTATTAGAGGTACCCACAACTAATTTTAGATAGATTGCCTAAAAAAAGGTCATCATCCAAAAATATTTGCGGCCCGTTTAACATAGCTAACATAAGACTGTGGCCCGAAGGAAAAAAAGGTTGAGTATGGCTGGTCTAAAGGTACATGGACCGAAATAAATTAAACACTAAATATTCTGAATTTTCTGTTTCCTATTAAATAATATGTAGAGTGCTTTAGTATCTAACATGAGATGGGTATTTTTTTTTATTAATCCCACATCCGAAAAGCTTTAGGTACACATAATGGAGCCAATGTGTTCTCTAGAGGACAATTCTAAAATCAAAGATCACCTCTAGATCATTCACTGATGTAACTTTTATGCAGCACACTATCACCAATTTTGTAGAACAGTATCACCAATTTTGTAGGTGGTTTAGAAAAGGGGTTAAATCTCTACTGAAAGTGATGGTCTTCCATTTGTTGGTATTTAATGAGAGATAGACCACCTTGCACCACTGATTTAATACCTCTAGATCAGTGGTCGCCAACCTCTCAATGTGTTGAACTACTTTGTTAATTTTGGAATAAACAGCGAGCTACCCACGTAACGCAACGCAAATGAAATAATCCACAGTTAATTTATCATTATATGTATTTATTTTACTATTTAACTGGTAATACATACTACATAGGTACTAATAATAAACTAATAACAAAATAACTAATATTACTAGTACGTACTTGTTCATAGCTACATTCCTGCCTACCAAACGAAGGTGTTTGAAAAATAAACACAAACTTTTATCCAGCCACAACGGCATGTCACGTAAGATTTAAAAATAGTTAATAATAACAACAAAAAAGTAACGCACTATCATAAACATAAACATTGAAAAATAAAAAAGCACGTTCAATGAGAAGGCTGACACTCAGACTCCAAATGTTCATCTGTAAGTCGATTGCGATATTTGTTCTTAATAAACTTCATATTGGAAAAAGAAGATTCACACAAATAGGTTGAACTGAATAATGCTTTCACTTTCAAGGCAACACGGCATAGAACTGAATATTTGTCTTTACTTACAATAGGCCAGATACATTTGGTACTTGAGACTAACGATTTTAAGGCTAAATCATTTTGAAACTCAATTACTTCCATTTCTGTTGCAGCGATGTCTTCGCCAAAGTTCTGCATAACACAAGTTGCAAACTGTTGGATATCAATTTCCATAAAGTGCGCTACTAAAGCCATTTCGCTGAAATCCTTAAAACGATTTTTGAAGTTATTCTTCAGGGTAGAAACTATTTCTACATGATATTTGCTGTCATAGGGTTCTAATGGATTTTGAGATATTTTTTCTGAAAGAATAGGAAAATGCTTTTATATCAGAAATCATTTCCGCTAGTTCTTTGTGTCTCCCCTGAAGCGGCAAATTAAGTTCGTTTAATTTCTCTGTAATGTCCACGAGAAAACCAAAATCTCTAAGCCAGATTGAATTTTCTAGTTCCGGAGTCGGTTCATCGCGTTGTTTGAAAAATTGAACTATGCCAGATAGGACATCATTAAAACGTTTCAGCACCCGTCCTCTACTTAACCATCGGACTTCAGAGTGAAGGAGTAGGTCCCCGTATTGACAGTCAACTTCATCGGCCAAGGTTTATAACGCTTGAGCTCTAATCTTGTTCACAATTTTTACCACCAGTTTCATAACGTTGTTTAGTTTCAGGAAATTTCCACACAATGCTTGCTGATGGATAATGCAGTGGTAACAGAGAAATTGCGGAAAAGTTTCATCTTTACGACATAACGCCACCAGACCCTAATCACAACCCACCATAGCTGGAGCGCCATCGGTTGCCTACCATTTTCGATATAGGAATTTTCTCGTAAGAAATAATATTTTTTAAATGAGAAAACAACTCCTGTCCAGTAGTGTGTCCTTTCAGTGGAATAAACTTCAAAAGATCTTATTTAATCGTAAAATCACTAAAAACCATCCTGACGAACACAGCCATCTGGGCAGTGTCAACGACATCTGTTGATTCATCCAGTTGAAGTGAAAAATAAACACAGTTATCTAGGTCAGTTCTTAACTGTAAAAAAATATCATTGCTCATTACTTCTACACGTTTCATCACTGTATTAGCAGAAAGTTGCATAGATTTTATAGCTGAAACTATCTCGTCTTTATTTCTAAAGTTGGCAAATAACGAATCAGCAGCTTCTAAAAACGCCTGTTTTATCATTTCCCCGTCTTCATAAGGTCTCTTTTTTTTGTGCAATTATCTGGGACACACGGTACAATGCTTCAGTTGCAGCCTTATTTTTGTCGACTGTTCTTAAAAATATTGATTGTTGTCCAATTAACTGCTTTTTTAACTGTTTCAGTTTCTCCTTTCTGACGGCAGAATGTAGTGGGAATGATTTTTCAAAATTAGAATGTACAGTTTTATGATGTCTCTCAATATTTCCTTTTTTTAGCAACGGAGACCGAAGTATTACATAACAAACACACATTTTTATCTTTAACTTCTGTAAAAAAGTATTGTTTTTCCCATTTCGAATGAAAGTGGTGTCTTTACCTTCTTACAACTGCTTGCCATAATATTATTTTTTGTTGTTCTCTACTAACCCAACCGTTGGACGTTGGTTACGCGTTCAGTTTTAAACTAAGCGCAATGTCGCCGCGCCGTGCGTATTTATCCCGTTCAAAGCAATCCTGATCGTTCTCGAACACTAACGCGCTGGTCCGGCTGGTCGGTTCTAGCCGATTCTAGCTTGATGGCGTCAGCGGCAGATCGCTCACCGCAACGTTGCCGCTGTTTATGTTTAATATTATGACAAATAGATTTTTTTGTGGAATTTTCGGAAGCTTCTCTGATTTTTGCAGTTTGTATTTTTTAAATTAAAATCGTTGTGAGAGCTACCAGAATTGCCTCCGCGAGCTACCGGTAGCTCGCGATCGACAGGTTGGCGACCACTGCTCTAGATCATCGTTGAAAGTATATTTTTGATGAGGTTCTTAATTTTCTCCATTTTTTTTACATTTTTTTTATTCTGGGGAAATATCTTAACTCCAATTATTGTTGGTGCTTTGGCACAAATATTTTGAGCTTCGTAAATGGTTGACAATAATATTTGTTTTATTTCTGGTGTTCTGTATGAATGGATATTAGTACAACGATTAAAATTGACTGATTTTTATGAGTAGATGGTCAATTGAAGGTATTTATTTTAAATAGTTCATAAAGAGGTCGACATGAATCTGTTAGAGAAGCATCTGCTAAAGATCTTATGATCCTCTTTTGGGTCATAAATACTTTGTCAGCAGATGATGATCCGTCCGATACACAAATACCATACCCCGTACTATAGCATTCGGGCATCATCCATGGCGATTCCATGTTATAAAGTTTTCCTTTTATTTTCGTCTGATATTTAACAAGATATTTTTTATAAAAAAATTGACCATTTTTTTATATACCTATCCATATAGGTAACTACTTATTTGTCAAATTTAATCTTACAGAGTAGTTTGAATTCCATATACTTAATTATGGCTAACACTGACGAATATAGGGCCATTTACCTTAGTTCCTCATTTTTTATTTACACTGCCCATTTTAATAAATTATTAGTGAGAAAGCTAAATGATTATCTTGCTTTTTAGCGTACCGAGGATAATTATTTATTTTACTACGGTACATATATTCATTGAAACTTTCTTATTTTTAGAATATCTCTTAATTTTTTAACATGGCCTTTGGTCCTGTCGATTTTTTATCATATTTTTCACTACTCTATCTTTCCAAGAATTGTTAAAATATGTATTTTTGTGTTTTCAGTATTATATATTTTTACAATAATAGAATAGTAACTTTACTTGAACTTTCCTTATATGGCGTAACATTAAAAAAGAATTGCTCTTCAACTACGTTATTACTATTCTAGCTTGCAGTGGCCTACAAACATCGACAGAAATAAAATGTAAGTAAATCGAGATTTATTTTATATATAAGTCATACTTTGATTGGATGATGAAAAATCGGTTTAAAATTCAGAAAAACTATCCGTTATTTATCCGAAAAAACATTGGTACATAATATATTCTTTGAAACTCCCCAAATAAATTTTTTTTTAAATTACCTCTACTCATATGTTGTTAGTAAATATTTAACTTTTTTGTTATTAAAATATTATATTTTTTATTATATACGAAGAAATAAAATTCAACGCACATATTTATATATTGGACTCAAAGTGGCACTTTAGTCCCTAAAATGCGCGACTGAACTAGTTTATATTACTTGCTGTGTAAAAAGAATATTTAAAATAAAACGCAAGATTAATATCCTATGTGTTAATATTCAGGTGTTGAGCTCCTAAAATTAATAATTATACCTTTAAATGTTGTATTTAAGTCTGAGCTAATTTCATAATATTTTCAAACATAAATAGTCATATTCTATATTCATTTGCTTTCATTTGAAAACTGAAAGCGACACTGAAGTTTCCTTGTGATATTTAAGATTTCAGCTTTCAAAAAAACTGAATCCATTCACATTCACATTTATTAATTTTGGACATGACATAAGAGATATAATAATGATATAAATTAGATTTAATTTTATTAAAAACAGTATAATATAGAGTCTACATACTTTTTGACTCATGCTTAAGTAAAAATTAAAATTTCACTTTCAGCAATTTGTGACTCACCCTGTAACTAATAATGATTACGACATAGGTTATACTGGAAATATTATTTGATATCAGCAAAGTATTATTCTTGAAAAATATCTGTAATTAAAGTAATTTGTTAACAAGTGCGAGCCTTTAAAGAGGGTATTTACCATTAAGACACAATTTTAAATTTACAATATAATATAAAATAATATAAAATTCACAAAATTATAAATTTTTATAAAAGAATATAAAAAAAATATAAATTGCATCGTACGATGTTCCAAAAGGTAGGCAACACATTACCTATACATATTGAAGTTTTTTTTTAATCTCTGTAGAAGGTTATTAAAAATAATGTCATATCAATCTAGACAAAATTAGTTTTTCCTTTTAAGTATTTTCTGAAAGCAAAACTGGAATAATAAATATTTCACTAGAGATTATTTTGAAAACCCAAGCTGCCACAAATAGATAATTTATTACCAGTAAAATCCAAAAATAATTATAAAATAACTTACAGAAAATTTAGGGATTGGCGAATTATTGTAAAATCTTTTCAGAAAATCTTATGGCCCTTTTTAAGGAACTAAAATAAATAAAAATTGTAGTTTCTTTAATTCAATTAGGAATAGTGCATAGAAAAGGAATAGTAAATAACAAGCGATATAAAACCAATACACACTAGTGGAATTTACTAATAACCTCTTGTTTTATACGTAATTCTCCCAAATATAATCATAGTAGTCAATTACTTTAATAAAAATTGTGAATTTATATATCGTAAAATCGCCAATCAAAAGTCCGAAAAGTGGAGGTCGGGGATGGTCTTAATAATTCGTAGGGGGATTATTGAGATTTGTTTTCGAATTTTCAAATTATTCAATTATCTTAATGTTTGCAGTTTCGATTTTTTTTTTAATTTTTCACACAATTTAAGGGAGACTGTGGACATGGGGCAACAGGGGACAGTGCCATTTTTATCATCAAAAAACGTTTGATTTACGCGCCACTGCATTGCACGTTCTCTTCTTATTCGAACTTTAATTCTGTAAAGTTTAGCAGAAGTGTTCAGGCTTGCCGGTCGGACATATTATGTAGGTATACCTATGTATTTTTCAACGTTGAATTCGATCCCGAGCTCAGAAATGGCCCTCCACGTCTGGAATTGGCCTCAGGGGCCAAAAATAGCCTCTATATGGCCTGAAAGATGGAATAGTCAGGACTGGCCCAAATCGAGTTCCTGAGGGTTTTCGAGGTCGCTGATGATGTTCAAATTGAACCACAGCCAACCTGGAGCTCAGAAACACCGATGAACGTTATCTACGAGGACTATCGTAAAATTTACGCGGGTAAGGAGAGAAATTAGGCGCTCGGGAGTTTTTGAGTTGCTGAATTCAAATATAACATCGGCGACCACCCCCTGGACACCTGGTGCGCTGGAACCGGCACGTGGACGTCATCTCCGAGAAGTTTCTTGCCAAGATTGCCAAAAACAAGCCGAAAAACCTTGTAGGTATTTTTTAGGGCCCTTGATCCGAGGCTTCCGAGGATTCTCCAGACACAATCGCTAAAGACAAACCGAAAATCGTCATGGGGGTTTCTAGGCATGCGGAATCCATACCTCCGGAGACCTGGTGTACCGGAACTCTGGCCTAAACGTCATCTGATACAACTGTGTCTTATTAGAGACTATACTGTATCGTTTAAACTATTCTTTATACCTTACAATCGAGTGTAGAGGAATACATGGGTAAAGGATAGATGCATTAGAATCGGTGGATGGGGCACTCGGGATCTTTTAGATACCGGGGAAAATTATCACATAGGAGTAATTCTTGAATTAAGGCCGTAACCGAGCGTGATGAAACCTTCTCGACGTCAAATCTATTCGCAGAGTGGAAGAATATTGGCTTCACTCAATTTTCATGAGAATACCACTCGATTACTACGTCCCAAACACCCCTTAAGGGGTCGTTTTCCCGGTCCCAAAGGGGGAATTTCATTTGGCCATAAACTTTTCGAGAACAGTCTCAGTTCGAAAACTAGGACATAAAAGCGATTGCAACGTCCGAAACACGATTTTCTGGCCTCTAAGGGGCTATTTTTCCGGTCCCAAACGGGGAATTACAGTTGACCATAAAATGTTCGAGCACGGTATTCATTCTAGAATTTAAAAGTACATAAAATACCACCAATGCCATTGCAACGTCTGAAATACGATTTTCCGGCCCCTGAGGAGCCACTTTCCTAGTCCTAAACGTAAAATTTCAGTTGGCCATAAATTTTTCGAGCACGGTATTCATTCTAGAATTCAAAAGTACATAAAAATACCACTGATGCCATTGCGACGTCCGAAACACGATTTTCCGGCCCCTATCCGGCCATGTTCCGGGCCTCTACGGGGCCATTTTCACGGCCCGCACGAGGAGTTACAGTTGTCCGTGAACTTTTCGACCACAAACCCGACTTTGGCTTTAGAATGCACCTGCAACCATGCCTCAACTGGGAATCTTACTTTTCAGACCATATAGAGGCAATTTTTGGTCCCTGAGGCCAATTCCAGGCATGGAGGGCCATTTTTGAGCTCGGGATCGGATTCAGCGTCGAAAAAAATAGGGGAATACATGCAGCATCTAAAAATAATAGCTCCCAAAGGCAAAAAGCAAGTTGGTGCACTCGCTTCACAAGAAAGGAGTAGCCATCCCACCAGTTTCTATTTTCCCTCACGTGCACAAGAAAGACAAATTTACAGATAGAGCATTTATTGGCAGTATGGGACTAGCTCATAAATCAGGGTACATCACATGACCAGTTAATTATTTTTGAAGGTTCTGGAATATATTAAAGAACATCGCTTGCTCAACTAATTGCCGATTGTTGATATTGATGGACAACCATGTGAGACTCGAAGCAATCAATTTTACCAGAGAAGCCGGATTTAGTCTGCTATCATTTCCTCCTCCTTGTTCAGATCGAATATAGCCACTTGATGTGTCAGTGTTGGGCCCATTCAAAGGATAGGTTAAAGTGGCTATAAGTGACTGGATGCGATCATACCCAGGGAGGCTAATCAGTATTAGCGACATTGCCGCATTGTATGGCAAAGCTTATTTGTCAGTCATTACAAAAAGCTCAAAGAACCAAAACCTTTGGTAAACAAAATCTACAATCTATACAAGCACCACCTGTTAAAGAAAAACTGAAAGCCCAAGATAGGGACAAAAACGCAAAAGAATACACTTTTTTCCAAAAACTTAAACAAACTAAAGTTGAAGTTTTGGACAGCGAATCAGACACATACATGATTTTGGAATTAGAAGATGAAGAGAAAGACGCGGTCAATTCCATTAGTCAAATAATGGATGACGAGAAAGGCCGTCATATCGTCCATATTGGGACGGTTTGCTACAAAAAAGCCTTCAAGTACTACGTTGGACTTGTGGAAGAGACAGGGAAATGAGTTTTCTGTGAATTTCTTAGGCAAGAAAGGCGAAAAATTAGTTTCCCGATGTGCCAGACATACCACAGATAGATCGAAGGGATATCGTTTCAATATTGTAAGCACTAACTTATTTAGTCACTCAAAGGCAGGGCAAAATTTTCCATTTCAATAATAATTTTCATGGATATAATGTGTATTGATCAATAAAAGTTGATTTAGTAGATATTTCTTTGTGTCCACTTTAGCTCCTGTAAAAATACGTCTTTGTCCACTGTGACCCCAGTCCGGGGTTAGAGTGGACAAATAACATACCTTGGTAAAATGTTTATTAGCTTGAAAATGGTTGCTATTAATTTCCTTGTAAAGATATTATGTAAAATTGGTCCATTTTGCTTTATAAAGTATTTTTTACTTATAAAGAAAAAGCGTCCACACTAGCCTCGGTCTCCCCTAATAAGAGATAAAATAAGCATTGATGATGATCTATAAGAGGACGAAAACGCTTTGCGAAAATAATATAAGTTTTAAAATGCTACATATTACTACTTTTTCTGACATCTTGGATCAATGTATTCTTAATTTTATTTCAAATAATCCTGTATTATTAATAAAATTAATTTATTAGTTTATATCCTGAATGTACTAAGAACTAATTTTTTAAACAAAAGCTAATAAGAATAAATTTTAAACTAAGTTTTTCATTTATTTCCCATCTTGTTTGAATAGGATCCCAAGTGTTATTTACTGAATGGCTAAATCGCTGTGTAAAATTCCATTTCTATTTTTAATTATTGTTTTTCAATTTAAATTAAATTACAGTTTATTTCTAAATCAGTTTTCTAAAAAATTATAATTTAAAATAAAAATATAGTGCAACAACAAGATAGTTTTAGAAGTATATTATAAATAAAACAAGCACAAAAATGTTTAACGAGTTTGTTTGTTCAATTTTGTACGATTTTCAAAAACAAATATAGGAAATGATTGTAAACTAAAATAGTAAAATTATTTATTCATTTATTTTAGGATATTCCTCTGCTTATTGAGTCTTTTGGTTTTAATTTTAATAACAAAGTTTTATTGGTCAAGGCGGCATCTTTATTTAGCTGCAGCTAAATTTAATGGCCCAAGAGGTTTACCATTAATTGGAAATGCATTATCTTTTTTCTGCAACTCCGAGGGTAAGTAACCATTAATTTCTATAATTTTCAAATCCTCGAGTTCACCTTAAAGACGAATTAATGTAAGGAAAGAACACAGCATCGTAACTATCCGAAGAGTTTCGTGTGGGGGCTCATGTAAGATGGCAAAAAATTAAATATTGTTTTAGGAAGTTGGCGGTGTTTTTTCTTAAAATTATCGCCGCCTGCTTAACGGAGTTGTTAACTATATTATATGAATAATCTTGTAGAAATCTTGTTGATAAGTTGATATATTGATTGTCGTGGAATACAGAAATTTTATAAACTTTGTATTCAATAACCACATAATAATTGATTGATACTCTTACATGTAAATAAGGTCAGAATAAGCTTGTTTAAAATAAATTTCTTTATTTTTTATAATCTTACATTTGTTGATTATTTTGCGCGGAAATTGATTTGTTCTTGCTAGCTTGGAGGTTCGAATGGTTCTTTCTGGCTGAAAAATGTCTCGTCTTGTCGATTTAAAAGTATGTTACTGACTTGTGATTGGTTTAAAGAAATAGTGTGGTTTGACCAAGTTTAGCGTGGAGAGAGATATGTTACAAACTGTTCAATAAGCGTGTGCATTTATTTTAACAATTTATTTTAAACGTGCTTATGCAGGTACGAGTGAAATAGGTCCGTGAGTGAGAGTAAGTCGGAGCTTATGTTTATTTAAACGGATTTTTTCTACAAAGTGAGAAAGCTATATCTTATATAGGTTTTCATCTGCTTGCAGATATCATGTTACCAGGCGGAAGCTTTTTTTAGATATTTAAAAATACGTTAACCGGCATTTACTAGGGTTGGCTTTGATTTTAGTTTATTATTTATGTAATTGAAACATGATTTTAATTTTATATAAGATTATTAAATTTGAGGATGCAAGATACATATTGAATAATGAAATATATATTGTTGTTATTATGTTATGCGTTATAATATTTATACGGGGTGGGTCATAAAGAGAGTAACAATTGTATTAAAGTCGTCAGTAAATAGTTAGTGGTCATAAAAATAAAAAGTTATTAACAAGAATTGTATTTAATAATAATGAACATAAAATGTGTGCTATATTAAATTAATTAATATCTCATTAGTAATTAAAGATAAACAAAAACATGAAGGAATATTAAACCTTTAAAACATCGATTAGAAAACAGCTTTATGCTACTTAATAAAAATAGGTATATAAAATATATGATATTGAATATGAATATTATAATGTATGCCTAAATAATAATGTATGTACCTAATAGTAATGGATCTATAAGCTTTTCCTTTATTTTTTCTTTATTTTTCTTTAAAAACTCTAAGTTGATTTCTACGTCATTTTGTGTGACCAAGCGAGACAAATCTGAATCTATTTCTTGTGTCATAGTCGTTCTTAATCAATTTCGTTTGGTTGGAGAATATTATTTTTTATAATGACCATTTCTGTCTTCAGTGTAATATTTAAAAGGATTCGATAATGTTCGATTAATGTAATTGAACGATTGAACTCTCAAGATCTAACTGAAAATAATAATAATTCCATACTTCCGTAAATAATTTTTTATTTTGAAACCCCTTTATAATGCCGATAATTCTGTAAACTATATTTGTCCTTCAGTACTCAATTACTCCCATGTTATTCCCAGAGGATGTGGCTTCTATAGAAGATAATCCTATGGTTAATTCAGTAACAAAATCTACCAATTTCTTTTTATGGTGGAATTTCCAATGATATTTCACGTTTTTCGGCAAATTTAGTCACTTCTAAATGAAGGTCACTATCTTATTTTTCGTTTTCCATTCATTTACTGTAATAATAACGCTTTTAGTCAAGTTGATGACCTTTCACAGAGTCACTCTTTTATCTTGAAGTTATTTGATAATGAGTGTTTATTAATTGAGTGCCGATACTTAAGGGTGTAAATCATTCGGTGATTTTAAGAAGAAAAGTTATTTATCAATATATGTCGTAAACTTCTTAATTTTTGAGATACAGGGTGTTACAGTTAAAAAAAAATACTTTTTAATCGTAATTTTTTTATAATTTCAGATATTTTTATGAAATTTTGTACACACCTTTTAACCATTAAGGAGCATTTTTTGACTTAGAAATCTTTTTAAATTTTTCCGATTGACGTCCGTATGGGGTTTGAACTGAATATTTTTGAAGAAAAAAAAAAAAAATGGTAAACCAAAACTATTTTTGAAATCTTCATTTATTTTAAAGCAAATTTGATTGGTAGGCACCCACCATGCGTGGAAACACTTTTTGCAAAAAAATATATTAATTTTCTACTTCCACCAGTGACGTCCTTGTAGGCCTAATATTGAATATTTGGGTAGAAAAAACAGTAGCTTAAAAATTAAGACGTTTACGACATATGTCGATATTAAATTTTCTTCCTAAAATCACCCAAGGACTCACACTCTTAAGTATTAACACTCAATTAATAGTTAATATTCACCTAATACAAAAAAATGAATGATGAAAGGTGCTTGTTTAATGCTGGACTGTTAATAATTGTTTGTCTTTCTTATTGGGTACTTAATTCTCTAAAGTTTTCATATTCCTCTCAAAACATGTTTTAACAGCGTGATAAGTGATCTCGACACAGCCAGCGAGTATTTCTTATATAAGTATCAATATCGAAGTCATTTAATCCTTATTTATACCTACTATGGTTATGTGGATCATAAAAATGTTCATGTAATGCCTCTAAAATATTATAGTCCATTATCCGTAAGTAAGGTCGACCTTCACCCATCTGTTTAATGGATAAAAGTTTTTTTTTATTGAATAAAATATATTTCTAAATATAACGCAAATGGGTTGCCTAAGAAAATATGGTCACGGCCATTTTTTACTTTCCTTTCTGTGTACAGCTAAGGAAAGTATAGAAATCATGAAAAAAGTTGCTTATAATGTCATTCTTTATTATTTTGTCCCTATATACGATTTCCCTAAAATGGACCTAATTCGAGATAGAAGAAAAGTGCAAATTTCGAATTTTGAAGATAACTCAAAAACTGATGAAGAGAAAAACACCAAATTTTAAACTTTAATCCATCCTGCAGCGAGCTGATTAAAGTTTGGGCATATTCAAAGCATCTGGGGAATACTTCACAGAGTATCGTTTTTTTTACATTAAGAAAATAAATAGTCTGGACTCTATTTTCTTAGGCAACCCATTTACGGTATATTTATAAACATATTTTATTTAATAAAAAGAAACTTTCATCCATTAAACAGATGGATCTTCGGATCTTAGACCATTAAGCTAAATAATAATGAAACATCTGCACTACAACCAAATTGACTAATATATCTACTAATTCTCCATAAGATGTTTCTAGTGTTTAAACCGTCGGAGATAATAACGATAATGAAGATTCGGCAAAACTAAATTTTAACCTAACAGGGAACCATTGATATATAATATTAGCCCGTTTCAAGTACCTATGTACTAATTTAAGTGACATAGAAAACAATTTCAAACACTTTTGGCACCAGAAGTTATTGAATTTGCTAAAAGAAATGAAGTTAAAATAGACTTTTAGAACTTCTTTCGGATTTTGAAGGTGGGCTCGAAATAATATGTAATTTCAAAACATATTTAGGTATATATAAGGTGAAAAAAATATTTTTTGAAATAAAAAAAAAATGAATATATCTCAGGGGGACAGACCCCTTTAGTTATGCCATTGCAATAGAATGGGTGGTCAAAAAGGACACGAAAAGATATTCTAGCGGAAGATATGTGGATTTAAATCCCAATATGTTGTAATAATTGGCATTATTATTAATTGAAAAAATCTAAAGAATTTACCAAAAATTCTAAACAAGTATTTAATGTTTAAGTGTTTAATGTTAAATAATTAAAAAGACACAAAGAAACAATGCTTCAATTTATTAATCTACATTGAACGTGACATTGTTAAATACAATCAACAGTCACATAAATTTTGGTTTATATAGAAAGGATCACTTGGGTAAACGCTCAGTCGGGGTTCGGACTAAGGTCCAGAACTTTCGCTTCTTGGGCGAAACCCTGGTTTTGTATTGTAAAGTAAAGTGTAGAGTATAGTTTTTGTGTACGATGTGAATTATGGGTAAATATTTTAACTTAATTTTACAGGGTTTTTGTTTAATAATTAATTGATTGAGTGATTTACATATAAATGCCAATTTTACATTTTCGTCCCGAATTATATTTATCTTATGCATATCTTTATTTCTATTAGTTATAGTGCTTTATTCCCTAAATGGAATTTTGTTCATTTTTTTCTTAAGACTATTTGTCAAGTTTTATAGTTATTGTTAATATACATTTGTTAATGTTTTAATACTTATTATTAATCTCTTCTCCCTTTCCAAACCAGCAAAATACTCCGAGCATTTATGAAGCCTCGGCGTTTCTATTCCCTTAGGACTAAAAGAGTCTTAAACTAGTTGCCAAGAACCGCTCGACATATGCTATTAAGGGATATTTTTTTGTATTTTATTATTTTTTCTTTATTTTTTTTTTGCCACTGGCGAATGGATGTTCCTTCAGGACTCCAGGACCCTTTAGCTGGTGACGTCACTGCCCTAATCCCTTAATAGTATATTAACAACAGTAGCTAAAGACCTATCAGTAGTTACAAATGGTCTTTAGGCTAACTGGTTGTTACAATGTGTCTGTAGGATATGTACAACAAGAAAAGAAAATTAACCATTAACACCACAGAATATCAGTAGTTGGGTGTGATGAGAAATATATTCTGCAGAAAGCATTCTTATTAACTCATTTATATGTTTTCTTGTTTTCAGATGTACAAGATAGAATTAAACCAATCTTTGAACATATACATCATGAGCCAATCAGGTTTTGGTTAGGACCGTATTTACTAATTGTACTGCAAAATCCAGTACATTTAGAGGTATGCTATTGTTACGTACTAAAAGTCTCATACTTTATATATAATTTTTATTAACAATTTTACTATTCTAGAATAGAATAATTAAAGTTTTCACAAAGAAATGAGCAAGGGCACTACTAATTCAATATATTTTTTTAATATATCTATTTTGATATTCTTTAATTGTAGCTATATTTCATCTTCAATTATCTTTACCTTGATATCTGGTTTACCTAAAAATAAACGAATTAAAACTAATATTAGAAATATTTTAGTAAATAAGTAAATATAACCTTAAATCATGTTTTGATTCTTCTTCTACTACTTTTATCATCGTCTGTCAAAGTTTATTCTCACAGAACGATAAAACATAAATTATTGGAAAATACCATGACGTCATGCACAGTTCAGTGTAGCCAATAGTGCAAAAGAATAATTCTCTAGATTCTTGTGGAATATTTCGGTTTAAAGCCCATAAGGAGAAAACTATCTTTTTTCGTTTTAAAGAATTTGCTTTTAGAAGCAACCACGTTTTCCAAACCTCGCATTTTTGCGGATATTTACCGAAATCTCCGTTTGTTTTATTTAATTTCGACATTAGGGATAAAGTAACTAATATCACATTTTATGGATCTAAAAAGAAATAATCTATTTGGAGAATTCAATTATCAAATTCGCTTCAATTGAAGCCACTTTTAGGCGAAGTGAATCTAGTGATTAAACTATTCTAATGTACTTAATATTTATTTAGACAATGCTTTACCAAATTATATTATTTTCAGGCCTTCTTTTTCCAGTTTTACTTTTACCTTTTGTACTTAAACCTATATCTGGGTTGATAGAATATCTTATTCAATGAAGACATCACATTGTATTGTCGCCTATAATAACTCCATAACATCGAACGAAGCCCTGTAGATTCTGGAGAGAAGCCGCCCTTCTGGAAAAAAACAGATAAACCTTAAAAACTTTAATTCGTTTTTTTTATTTGAGTCAGTGATTTATGTATATGTCCTATATTAATTTGTCAATTTCCTGATAATTTATTTATGTGTAGATTAACTTACCAGTTTGCTGATTCTTCCTTAGAAAGTAGAACTTTAAACCTTTCTAATAGGAAAAATTTGTGATAAGTTTAAAATAACCAAAAAAGGTTGACAGCTGTGTGCACGTAGTTTAGATTCAAAAGGAAAGACTTGTATTTCGTGCAAAACTTTAATTAATAAATGCAAAGCTTTCGGCTTATTTGCCATCATCAGTGCTTATCTACAAAAATTGTGGATGTAAACTTACAATTTAAAAAAATATATTATAAAATCTGAATAAGACTTTTAAGTCAAAAGTTAAAATTGTATATATACGATTGTTTGAACAAATTAACAATTACAAGAAACAAACAAAGTGACAAAAACTGGTATTGGGAATAGTGAGTGTGGGATAAGCCCTTACAAATCAAATCTGATCTCCAGAAGCAAGTTAGCTTATGTGGAATTAAGGAATTATGCCACCTTCACTATTCACAAAATTGAAAACAAGTTACCAAATTAGTTAAAATTTAAAGAAATTTACAAATAGAGGGTGACTGTGGAAGATATATTGAAATTTGAATCTAGAATACAATATTTAATATGAAGAAAGTTAAACGCAGAAGGCCAAAGTAAAAAAACTGAAGGTTTTTTTTTATATACATTATAATTATAAAAAAGTCTACCTACTGTCCACAACGTATCCAACAAGTTCCTGGTCATCCTCACTCCCAAAATTAGATATTTCGGGATATTTACAACTTGCTAAATCATAATCTTAGTATTATTAATATTTTCAAATTTAAATTTATCTATTCATTTTTATTTTTATTCAAGTTGTTTAACCGTTTCCACATGACAGTGGTGACAAGCGACACTTGAAGACGTTGACTTGTCAAATGTCAAGAGAAGGAGGTGCGTTCACCTCAGTGTGGAAAATGTTTCTCCGAGTGTGATTCGAGTGATTGGAGGTGGTTAACGGAGATCAAAATTTGTTAGTATTGAATTTAAAGATTTGATTTATTGTTAGTTAAATTTAAATAAATGTTTAATATAAATGATATTATTATTTTGATGTCAAGACAAAACAAAAATGTCACTCGCGTGATTCTGATGTGATAAGGACATGATAGTGATCCTGAAACAAAATAGGTACTAATTATTAAAAATATACAAAACAAAATATTCAATGTTGAAGATATCTTACAATTATTAGTAATTCTTTTTATGGTTCTTGTTGAACTTACTTTTGAAAATTTTGTAAATATAAATACGTATTTATATGATTCTCGTACAAATGTTTCATATAATGTATTGCTAAAAGATCATTCTAAAAATATAATAATCTGCCTGCTCGAAAGAAAAGAACTCCGCAGTAGCTTTTATTTGCTAACCTTCGAATGTTTCCTGAGATTGACCCCTCCTGGCTTTGAAAAGGCTTTGCCTTAGTATCCTGAGGTAAAAGTGGGCGCACAAATTGGCGCCCAACGTGGGCCTTAAACCGAACCATTCTGCGAAAATCTAGAAAATTATTCTTTTGCACTACTGGCTACACTGAGCTGTGCATGACTTCATGGAATTTTCCAATAATTTATGTTTTATGGTTCTGTGAGAATAAACTTTGACAGACGATCATAAAAGTAAGAGAAGAGGAATCAAAACATGATTCAAGGTTATATTTACTTATTTTTTACTAAAATATTTCTAATATTAGTTTTAAATCGTTTATTTTTAGGTAAACCAGATATCAAGGTAAAGTTAATTGAAGATGAAATATAGCTATAGAATATCAAAATAGATATATTTAAAAATATATTGAATTAGGAGTGCCCTTGCTCATTTCTTTGTGAAAACTATAATTATTATATTCTAGAATACTAAAATTGTTAATAAAAATTATATATAAGGTATGAGACTTTTAGTACGTAACAACATTTTATTAACTAACCAATCTGTTATTCGCTTACTGGCATTGGTAATTTCCCTTTGTCTACTTTTCACTCACTTTAATTCATTTCATTTATTTATTGGTTATAATAACTAAAATTTAAATGAAATTGGAATCAGTTCAAAAAATTGATAAGGAAAAGGCAATACCACCAACAAAATATGTAAGTCATAAATGCCCATGGTTTATAATGATATTATTTATTATCTTACTTTTCAAGAATGCTATTCAATGCATGATTCAACTCACTTTGCTTGTTGATATTCCACGTGTTAATAATTAAAGTCTCTTATTTTAGAAAATAATGTCTTCGCAGAAATTCGCCTATAAACACGATCTATACACTTTTTTAGAAACATTTGTCGGAAATGGACTTATAAGTGCTTCAGGTAATGAACGGCAACGTATTATCCACTAATCAAATTTAACTCATTTTATATTTAGGACTAAAACCCAAGTACAAAATCCACAGAAGAATTATTCAACCTATGTTTGATTTGAAATTTGTAATTAACGCTTTTCCTATCATGCAAACTCACGTTGACATATGCATGAAAAAATTATCTAAATATCTTGGAAAGGATAATTTTAATATATTTACTGTTATTGCTCCTTGCTCTATGGATATAATGACAGGTAAATATCTTATCAGTAGTAGGTAGGTATTCAGGTGAAATATAATTTAAAAATATATATTTTATTTAAAAACAAAGGAAAAATAGAAAAATTCACGACCACTTACCCAGACAACACATATGAGTGATTCTCGTGTAACTGCGATTTTTATAACTTACATTTTTCTAAAATTAAAAATGTTTTAACACGTATGTTTTACGCGTTTTTGTTTTCTATTAATGCACACAAATAAGCCTGTAAAGTGGTTTTACTACAGCTACGACACAACGAAAAGTGTAACAAAATTTAAAAATTTTAATGCCACGGTACTGACATTATTTCCACGGTACTGACATATAAAAGATTATTTTTTTTTACTAATCGAAAGATTGGTACAAAATTGCAATAAAATTCAATGCAGTATGCATTAGATTGTAGTTATAAGAGGTAAATTTTAAATTAAAAAATTAATTTTGATAGAAATTTATATATTTAATTTCAAAAATGAGAATATGACATGCCACGGTACTGACATTTCGAGTATAATTTAAATGCAGCTTAAAAAAAATTACAAAGGTTTATGATCTAATTCATAATGTCGGTTGAAAAATACCTCTAAATTTATAATATTAATAACTTTTTGATGAGGAAAACTTATGCTAAACGATAAATAAAACACTGGACATAAAAAATTACAGTTATGCGAGAATAACCCATATAGTCCAATGGACGTCCACTTTAGATCCATTTGAGGGCCAGAACGTCCATATCCGTATTCGGATATCCAGTGTACGTCCGTTTATGATCATTAATTTGACAGCTGCATATCGGTGTCCAGAGGAAATCTGTTTTTGGACTTAATTTTAAGTTTAGTATTATTTTGACGTCCAGTGAACGTCCATCTTAGGTCATTATTTATTTAGCCTACCAGATAATACCCATCTATATATATTTTTATATTTTTAATTAAAAGTTGACAAATTAAATCTATTACATTTCATTCTATCAGCGGAAGTTTGAAATCTTATTCTATTATAACCGTATCTAGTAAAAATTTTTCAAGTGGCTCCTTGGTCGAGGTCGCCTAGCGCTTGAATGCCTAGAAAGAAAATGGACGTGTCGTGAGTTCGATACCTTCTCTGGTCAAGTGATTTTTAATAAAAAAATGGCGTAAAGTGGGTTGGGAAAATAACAAATAAATTATTAATATTATAAAATAGTGTGTGGTGAGTTGCGGTTGTGTAAAAAAAGTAGGGATGTGGTCTCAATGGAATATATAATCCAGAAATGGACGTTTTTTGAACGGTCAAAAGTGTGCTATTTGTATACTTCACTGGACGTCCATTGGACGTCGGAAGTCCAGAAAAAACTTATCTTTGGACGTCCAGACATCCAAAATTGTATATCTAATGAACGTCCAATGGTCGGGTATCTCCTGAAAACAACTATTCCTTTGGCTTATATCGTTACAGACGTTGCATTATATCAAAAGGAAAATAGCAGATATAGAAAATTATTTTCAACACTCTAACTTTAATTTTGCTTCCTTAAAAGAAGTTCATTCTTGGATCGGTTTCGTTCTTATATTAGGACTCTTCAAGAAATATACATTCTTGATTCCAGTTTCTAATGGAACTAGTAGAACTTTGAGTTTTTCTCTTTTTCCTTTTTTATTTATTTTTAAATTTCTCACATTTGAAAATTAGAATTTATTTCCTTTCATATTTATTTGTTAGAGGTAATACTTGGTCAAAAACTCAATATCCAAAATGGCGAAAACACTGAACTTTGTAAAGCGATGTTGAAGTAAGTTATTTTATTAATTGTATTATTATTATTATTATTACCCCATACATTTCTTATCTTAAATCTTTGCACACAGAATGTTGAATATTGGATTTACAAGAATGGTTAAAATATGGCTACATCCTGATTTTATATACAACTGGCATTCTTTAAAAAAGGAACAAGATTCAATATTGGCAACAATACATAATGTTGTAAATGAAGTAAGTATTATACTCCTCAATGCCGTACACTTTTATTTTGTAGAAAAACTGCATATTGTTACACTGGTTTTTGGTATCACAATTTATTTCAATTCAACTTTACAATAACTCAATTCAACTTTAACAATAACGATACAACTGATAACATCAACATGTAACGTCTATCATAAAACTGCCAACTGACGTCAGGTCGTCGCCTTATATAGCTTGCCTCGACCTTCTACAACCTTCTCGAACAATCTGGACTTTTCTTTGACATTTTAAGACATTTCGGGAATATTCTATCTTCTTCATTTACTCGTACCTTTATTTATAATGACCGCAGCACACTGTAGAGGGATGAGTAACATTCCACTTCTTTTTCTATCTGTACGTTTCCTATGATAGCCGCAGGCTACTGCAGGGTGCTGCGTAACAATATATATGAATTTATTTCCATTATTTAATTTTTAATATAAATATGTATTATAAAAAAAATAAAAATAAATTAAAAATCGAAATTAAACCCATCTGCATCTAACTTATACTCATCTTGTGACGTTAAAGTAGCAGGAACAGAAGTAAATATCTTGTTTTTGTAAAGTAACCTTAGATTAGACGAAAAATATCAATTTATTTTTTCAGGGAATCAGAATTACAGATTCCCTTATATCTAACTCTGTAATACATATGTAGTACTGCTTCTCATTCATAGGTGACTTTGAAGTCTAAAGAGTCTAAAGAAAATTAATAAGTGACAATGGGGTCTATTCTGTAACAATTCCTTTATATTTAACGGCCTTTAAAAATATTGGTGACCTTTAAAAATATGTTTGTATTCGTTAATTTACTTCTGTCATTATTTAAACAGATTTCTTTAAGACAGTCCTCTAATGTATTTTAAAGATCCGTTTAAATAATGACAGAAGTAAAGAAGAAAATTTTGGATTCGGAGAAATGTAAATTGCTACCATGACTATGGTAGCCAACCGGCACAGCGGTGCGGCGTTGAAAGCCGTGCATCGTCTAACGTCATTTCAGTTCGGCAGACTTCGGCACGGTGTTAGGTTTATTTTCGTTACGGAATTTTTTGATTTGGTCGCCGCGCTCAAAGCCCACGATAAAAGCTATGCAATAGCTTAAAAACAGTACAAGTAACAATTGAATTAAATCAATAAAAAAATCAAATGTGTCAGGCAACAGGGAAAGTGAGGCATGAATACAAAAAGGTAAAGTAACTATTACGGTTTGAAGAAAGTTTGTACTAGAACAAAATAAAAAAACTATAATCTAAATTAAAAAAATAAAAATAAAATGTGTTAGAAAGCCAGGAAAGTGAGGTAGGGTATCTTGTCAAATAACTTGGTTATTCTGGCTTAAAACCTGTGATGCCAGATATAAACTACCAAAAAACTGTCCTTATTTTATAAATTTAAAACAAAAGATATAAAGAACAAGGTACTTGGGCCTTAAAAACATAGTAAGAATTACCAAGAGAATAAAAAATAAAACAAAAAAAAATAAAAACCATGATGGGACACTACAATGAGAGAAAAATGCAAATCTTACTAACAGTAAAAGTAGTTTTTTTGAAGATTGTTTCAAACCTTTACGACTAGTTGAAGCCTCAGATTGTGTAACCAAATTGTTTTGATCAACATGTTCGAAATGTATATCATTCGAAGTCGAAGGAAGTTCATCTGGTGCATGATCAAGACACAGAACTTCCGATTCTGAGAGGAATAATGTTGGATATGCTTCAACAATTAGACCTCTGTGAGTTTCAGGAACTTTAAATTTATCTTCAAAATCACATACTAAATAGTTTTTACGAAATTGTTGTGCCGTTTTATTATTGAAAAACGGACTGTGAACAGCCAATACCCAAATTTGAAATAAATCATTATTGGGATCGGGTTTGGGAAAACGATGCACACAACAATACGGCATATTTCAACTTTTAAACAAAAAATCACCACAAAAATTTAAAATAAGCTCACAATTGTCAGAAAGATCAAGTAAACAAAATGAAAATTAAACACAATTGAACAAGACCAAGTTGACAATACAATAAACAATAATTTAGAAAATACTTACTATTTATTCATCCAGGATCCAGGACACTCCCAAATACAAACAATTGAACAATAATTGTTGATAATAATATGATATTAATCATAATAAATACTGGTAATGGATGCCAATGACCAATGACAAAATACACTCCAACACTCCTCCCCCAACTCCCACTCTTTCCACCATCAATTGTGGATTTTTGTAAATTATGTGTACAGCGTCCCCTGGAATTAATTCTGTGAAACTAAAACATAGTTTCAGTTCGGGCTATTCGCGATTCAAATTAATTTTCGCGCGCCTGTCATTTGTCATGTATAAGTAGGATGTTTGTTTATTTATTTATGTGTTGTGGGATTTTGTATTTGTGATTTTTTAACTGTTTTTAGATAATATTCTTATTATAATAGTGTTTTTGAGTTTCATTTAGTGTTAATTTAAGTTTAGTTTTCGTGCTTTCGTTATAAATGTAATATTTTTCATGTGTAGTATGAACTAATTTGTTGGAAATATTGACCTATTGGTTGCTACAAGAACATCTAGAAATATGTATTTACTAAACCCAGGACATGTTTTATTATGTGGTTTAAACGACATATCAGGTACCAAACGTTTATTATTGATGAACTTCTTTAAAAATCTTACTATCCTTATTCTTATATCATGAAGTGAATTGTGTAGTACTTTGTATACATGTAAATGGTAATAAAACCGTCACAACTCATATTGGAGTTTGATTCTAAACAACGTTTTGCAAAATTTCAATATTGTGAATTTGTAGATACCCATTTATCGTAAGAAACAAAATTTTCTGACTTGCACTTGAAAAATAATGAATACTTCAGTTTTGATTTTGACAATAACACCATATAGATTGCAATTTGCTGGAGGCTTTTTCGCAGATTTCATTTTTAATTTAAATACTATCACATACTATAAGAAATAAACAAATTTAAAGCTAAAAAGTAACAAAAAACTCTAATTGTAATTGATACAAATTAAAATGTAAACAATGAACACGAACGCCAATGTTGCCAAATGATGAACTGATTTTGTCTCTGACTAATTTTAAAACTAAAATTAATAAATGAACTGAAATTTAAAAAAAAATCAATATAATAAATCGATTTTATAAAAAAATCCTTAAATAAAAGTATGATTACATATTACTAGACACAAATTTTGATTCTTAAATAAAAGGTCTTATCCATTTCTTCAAGAACTACAATCCGACGACGACGATTTTGCTGCTTCTGGCAACACTGAACGTCATCCTACTTATAGGGACCTTCTACTAATTTCCTCCAGAGGGCGTATCACTTAGCTTGAATCGCGAATACAAGTTACCGATACCTGATTCCTGATTCCTGTGCAGGATTGGTAACAACAAAGTTATCGTAGTGAATCTAACAGTAAATTTCTAGCTGACAAAATTCCGAACATTACCGAATGATCAGAGCGCTGTTCAAATAGTTATTTTAAAATACTTTTGATATAAAAAATATGAACTATTATCGATCCTTCCAACAAGGGTTAACTGCTGTTATAATAATAAAATAATTATTTTACCAAAGAAGGAAATAAGTTTTCACTTTAAAATGTATTTCAGGCTATAATTGATTCATGGGTAAGAAGAAAATTGACAAAAACTAATTCAAAATTTATTCCTATTATAGACACTTTGTCAGAATTCAAACAAAATAATCCAGATAGCATTAATCAAGAAGATTTTGCGAACCATTTAATAACATTACTCGCTGCGGTAAGTAGATTTGAAAAATAAACAAAATTTATATATTATGTCCACTATTTTTTCTACAATGAAAATAGTAAATGTAAATAAATGAAACATTTTATTAATTCGAACAAAAATACACTAATTATTTTTTAATTATTTAATTAAACTAAAATTAAAATTGAATGAATATTTTTTGTCAACATATCATTTTCTAACAATATATTGGAAATTTCGGAGCAAGAAATATCCTTAACAAGTATATTGAATTTTCCATGCTGCAGCTATAGCCACATAAATCCGGCCACAATATTTTTGGGTGATAACTAGAGTAAATGTAAATAAAGGACAATGGATGACGATAGGGATTCGCTTTAAATATTTTATAAAAAAGAAAACCAAAAAAAAAGAGTCCTCATGTTGTTTTAGTTGTTTTAATAGGTTTTGAAAAGTCGCAAGGATAATTTGTTTCAAAAAAGGACTATAAGTCAACTATTTCAATTCCTAGTAATAGTGTTTGGGGCTGCACAGAAAGCTTGGAGGGGCGCAGGTTGAGTATGGCTGAGCTAGAGTATCAACACACAAAAATATAACAGATTAGTTTTAAAGTATCGAAAAGGAGAACAGGTAGGAGGACGCTTTTCGAGGAAGAACAGAACCTAAAAAAGAAGAACTGTCCTCCCTAAAGAAGGATGATTGGGCATCTTAGTATATACAACACCACTAGATTCGCGTTTATCAAGAATGACCGAACTATCCATAACTGTTCTATCCAAATGATATACGCCATAAATATGCCAATAGAATCATTTATATTATTATTTAGGCATTTCATAGATTTGGCAGGATTATGCCGATTTCTAATTGTGTATTAAAGAATATAAATGTTAAATTACTGGACAATTAAGGTATTTGTAAAACTGCAACAATATCCAACGATCTTGAAGGAACCCAACATAATTAGGCATTCCAAACAAAATGGATGTCGTGGGAAGGGTGGTATATTTAAGGGGTTGCGACATGCGATATATTATATTTACAACACGTGAAATCATGAATAATGGATTAAATTTAAATATTTTATGACGAACATTATGAAAATATTATTTAAAAAAACTGCTTATGAAGTTTTCATAAATTGATATGCTTGGCGACTACTATTTCGAATAAAAACAGCGTCTGAGATGGAAGACTATGTCGCAACCCCCTTAGATATACAAGCCCTTCCCACCGGCAGAGCTGGGTAATTACATAATACTTCAAAAATAATTATAATTACAAAGTAATAAAAAAAGAATTAATTACAAGTACAAAGTACATGTTGTAAAAACAGGAATTATATTAATTTAATTACATTTACATAAAAAAGGAATTATTCAAATACTTTTATAATTACTTTTCTAATTACTTTGTGGATAAAACAAGATATGATAGAATTGAGGAACCATGAGATGACAGATGACAAATTTTGTATGGCATAGGTACAATCTAAACACCATTTAGCACTTAGGGCTTGTTTCCCCAAACATTAGACTGCACCTACAAAATCGGAAATTAACATGTATCACCTAAAACTGAGCTACACTTTAAGTAAGCTTTATACAACCAGCCCTAAACGTATTGTTTTCTATACCATTTAAGGTCTCCTTAACTTAAGGGAAAAGACAAAATTCATAACAAGTAACAATTAGTATCAAAAATGGAACAAAATGTAAGCTTTTAAAAGTTTAAAAGTTCGTGTGTCTAGGCTTAGGTACTTTTATATTATAATCACCATACAATATGTATCTGTAACGTGTGGAGGGTGGGCTAACCCACGGCATATAAGCCTTACTCTGCCCATTGTGCATCCTCCTAAGTAGATAGGCACCTCCTAGCTCGTGAGCCAGGCTACAGATTGAATGTAGTTGACAACGTCATCAAGAGATGCTTCTCTTATTACGACCGATGTTAGCAAATTCTCGCCAAACATAAATCTTCTAATAAATGAGGGCGTCGGGCAATCGTAGCTGATATGCTCTATGGTCTTATCTTCTTGTTCACACCCCCTGTAGAGTGCGGATTCCATAATATGGAGATGCTTCCGTAGTTGGAAATATCCATTCAGAATCCCTTTGATCATGCGCAGATTTATTTTTATCATATTTAACTATTTGGTCTCTGTGATGTTGTCAGGATAACAGGATGTTCCTTAATTAGGCCTGTCACTACCAATTTTGTTAGTCCGATAGAAGGGCCAAGTAAGTCTAAAAAGTATTTGGTTAGCTGCCTTCTTGGCAAGTGAATCAGCAAGACGGTTACTCTTCGATGGATACCTCGGCCAAAGCTTCGTGACATTTTATTACTAACCCTGAATAAATTCGTGGTTTGTTCAGGGTGAGTAGTGCTTGTCTGCTATCTGTATAGATGAGCATGTCTATTCTAGTGATATTATTTCTGGTGATTTCTTTTGCTGCTATGAGAATTCCTTTGAGCTCGGTTTGCCCAGCTCTGTTGTTTGATAAATCGTTGGCAAAAAAGGAAACATGCTATGGGAACTAGATCCGTGGTAACGGATGTTGCCAAGGAAGTGAATTTAACTTTCATCAAGGCTGCCACTTAATGAAGGTTATCCGATAGTTGACAAGACAAGTGTGTAAAGTTCTAAGGTACGAATGTATGTAGTGCAATCGAGGCACTACACAGGCACAAACCCAGTAAAAAGCTATCTTCCCATGTCACCACTAAGGGGTGTAGCGAAGATTGTTCACCGCATCTTAAGAATTATAGGTAGAAAATCCAATCAAAATTGTGCCATCGGAACAGTATGGTTGCAGTGCAGGACAGAGTGCAGTTACACAAATCATTCGTGTTATTCATTATGCCAAAAGGTCTTCAACAAACAGCAACAGAGAAATAATTAATGTTTCAGTACTTTCGCTGCATCTGTATACTATTATCAACCGTGACCCGTGAAATGCCCATGGGACATCATAGTGTAGGTATAAGCGTTGCATGCCAATGCAGAAATTGCGTACACGAGGCTGGACATAACTATGGGAGGAAAACAAAAAAAATCAACTCGAATAAAAGCATCTTAATATCAAAAAAGATATCTCAAAGAATTATGTCTATGCTAAATGGCAACATGAGACTACGGTCTCAGATGAGATTACATATCTTGGTTTCGTACTGGATACGGGATTAATGTTCAAGAGTCACATCTTAAATATGGCAAACAAAGCTACCTATAAGTTGTGGATAATATATTATACAATGTTGGATAGAATAAATTGATATTATAAAACCAAATATTGCCATCAATCTTAACGTATTCCACTCCGGAGAGGCTAGCCTCCACGGTCTCGCAAAAACTAAGCAGTGAGCTTTCCGGTCACGTCCTGAATGAGTGACTGCTAGACGTTCCACCATGCTCCCATAGAACTAGACGAATGGAGTTTAACCATCGACGACGTGGAATGAATGACAAGAAGGACTGCGTGAATGGAAAATTAGTTCAAATAGTGGCACAATACATTCCAAACGCATAAGGAATGTACACTTGGAGGTGACCTGATAGAAAAGTACAAATAGACTAGTGGTTATTATTTTTGTAACCATATTATTAATATTTATCAGAATTGAACACTTCAAAAAATTTGAAAGAAGAAAAATGCAATAACTATATAAGCAACCGGTTGGAACAACCTGCAAAAGGACACTGTATCATCGAGATCAATTAATCAGTTTAAGATTTGGCCCGATGAAGAACTGAATATTGCTTCATACATTCTAGTCCATTACATTGCATAACTTATGATATAAGTATGATATAGATTGTTTTATTTAGGATGTGAAAAGTAGTTAATGAACGTGATTTTCTCTGTTTTAAATCTACATTCTTATCTATAATTAGAGGAAAGTAGAACTTTATCCAAACAAGGGCGGAAAGTTTATTTTTATTCACATATAAGGAACATTCCATAGGAACCAGTAGGCTCTCATATGTGGTCGCAGAATAACGCCTTTTCATAATTTTGGGGCAATTTTGGAAATATGATACATATCCTAAATTTTAAAAATAGTTTTTGTTCCTATTGTACTGCTTAAAACGAGTATTTGATGTTTTAACAATATTTTATTTTTAGTCAGAAGATCCTTTTGCAATAATTTCGTCTTTTACAGTTGTATGTTTTGGAATGTATCCTGAATATCAGGTAAATGATTTCAAAATTAAAATTTAAATCTTTGAGTGACAACTATAAAATCCGTATTTACAAAGCATTTTTAAAAGCTCTAAATGAATTCAAGGACTTTTTTTAAGAACAAAGCGGCACAAGAAATTAGAACTGTAATTGGTGAAGAATATAGAAATATCACAGTGGAGGATATTTACAAATTAACTTATTTGGATATGTGCGTAAAAGATGTGATGCGGCTGTTTCCAATAGCACCTTATATTTTAAGAAAAACTTTAGAAGATTATCATTTAGGTAAGATATACAATATTATTTTTAATGGCAGGAGAAATAACTAAGTTTGCAATATACGGTTTTATAGTTACCTTTTGAAAAACTAATAACCAGTGTTTGTGATTAAACTTCATAGTTAGAATTAGAAATATACTGAATTTAGAAAAGTAATTTAAAAGGGGACAAGGGAATTTTGTAATTCATGAAAAATAGAGCCATAAAGGTTGCTAAAAAAGTTATTTTAAAGTCTATAAAAAAAATAGAACAATTTTCCAAATCCATTCCCCGAAATCAAAATATTTGAAAAATGTAAGTTTGAAACAGGACAGTTTCTAGGGACACTTTGTTGAGAAAAATTGAGTATTTGTTGCATAACATCATCAAAATGTTTCGAAAAACATAACCTTTTAATCACTTCAATGGGATTTAACTCTGCGTGATAAGGGGACAATCTGACTAATGTTAATTCAACAAAAATTTATTGACACATTTTTAGATAAATGGATAATACCTAGAGGAGCTGCCATAGTTGTGCCAATATATTTTTTACATAGAGATCCAGAATTTTGGGCTAATCCGGAACATTTCCATCCAGATAATTTTTTGCCAGAAGTTAGCCAGAAAAGGCATCCATATGCTTATTTACCATTTAGTGCTGGACCCAGAGGGTGTATAGGTAAGCACAAAAGTATTTATTCGTTTATTGTTTGCTAGACTGTCTTCTGTCGAATCATTCATTAATTTGTTGATTGTATAATTAAAGCAATAATAAATCAGTTATTGTCTTAGTTCCATCTTAATTTTTTGGTTTCCCATACCATTCACAAGCTGATACTTTGTCTAGGTATCAGTTGCTCTTTGATTTAAACTTTTACCTAATAAATACCATCGATAAAGTATATTTCATTTCAAAGCCTTATGACTAAAAGAGTATAGGTATAAAAGTAGTAGGTAGAAGTATATCAAGAAATAATAACAACTCATCCTACAATTTCTACGATTATCGATCCTTCTTCATCGAGTACTATTAAGGGTAGCAATTCCTGAAAAGCCCTATAAGAAAGGGAAGACAACTTATTATTTTCTGATAACGTCAACAAATCAATGACTATTAAATTTCATTTGACAGTGAGAGTTCGTTATAGACACACTTTTCAGATCACAATAATGTGAAATGTACGACTGTTGTCTGGAACCAATGAAAACATAGACTCCTATGACATTTATTTTTTCGTTAACCCCTCATTGGTCGTTCGTCGACTAGGGCCAATAAAAACATGTATTACATAAATTTTGAACACGACTATATTTCGGAACATGCTCTTGGTAACGAATCTAGTTATTTTTTCCTGTGTAAATGCGTCTTTTCAATTCGCTCCTCCTAGTTTAAAAACAGAGTATAGTCACTTATAAACGATTCAACGTGTGATTGAAAAATTACTAGCTCTTAATTTTTCTCTAAATTGACGTTGACGTTTCTATCCGCTAGGTAACTATTTAAGAATACTTCGTGAATACAGATGTAGATAATACTAGATACCTACATTGCATAAATAATTACCTAGAAGCAGATATCTAAAATGTAATTTGAAAATATTTTATTGCAGGTAAAACATTAGCAAATATAGAGATAAAATTATTTTTGGCCAATTTCCTGTTGAGATTTGAAGTTGTGGCTGATGGTAAAGTTCCTGACATGGCATTACAAACAGATATCTCGATGAGACCAAAATTTGGATACAATTGTCGATTGAAAGAAAGAAATTGGAAAACTGATGCATTCTAATAAAAAAATTCTTAATGTTCCCTCGTAGTATTTTATTTGTGATCCAATCAATGGTCCTATCCTAGGTTTAAGAGTAAAAATAATAGTAGTAGTAGACGAATAACGTTTTAATTTCATATGGACTAAAAATGGTTGCTAAACATATTACCTGAATATGTAACCTGTTCTATAGGCAACCAAGTTTACACCGATTTTATTCTTCCCTTTTTAGACAATCATTTATACAGCTCAGAGTATTGCGTGTTATATAAGAGTGGAGTTCAAATCAAATTCATTTATAACATTTACATTTTTTTTAACAAATTTTTAAGACCCGTCTAAACAAAGTTTGTGTGCGGAATCTTTAATATTAGTTTTTTATTTTAAAGAGTATTAAAGTTTTAAATATTGTTTAAATTATATCTCTATTATATTATAGGTAGAAATAAAAATAAAAATTTTTGAAAAAAATAGTTTATCTTCTAACGATTTACAATAAAAAAGAAACTATTATAATCCTAAAATGGTTTCTTCATTTTTACTAATATTATTTAAAAAAATTTTTTTTGGAAATATTAAAAAAAAAAGTTTTATTACCTCCCAGCAAACATTTTGTGCAGGGTAATAAAAGGCCGAATAACTGTTTCCCTCCAATTGCAATGATGGCCATTTAAATTTTATAATTAAAAGGCCGGCATATATAGCTCATTATATTCTCGTTACTACGGCCGATAGTCGGGCCGAAGTCACTTAGCCATTAAATTCATTTTTTTATAGCTGACCATAATATGGCCATATCGAGGTGGACTTTTTTTTTTAAATTGGAACCCCAATTTTTTACATACTCTTTAAAGTACATAAAAAAATAAAAAACTTTTGAGGGAAATATTTTACTTTTTGAGTAACAGCTACTTAAAAAAATTTGCTGTTCGAAAAAAGTTGGCCATATTATGGTTAGCTATAAAAAACGATTTTAGCCAAAATTTTCCCCACAAAACTATAAAACTTTATATAAAAGACGGTGTTTAATTTGAACACCCGGTATAAAATATTCAGTCTCGCCTCTTCAAACTCTTTTATATTTAATGGCGGAATGCCTAGAATTAAATAAAACCATAGTGCATGGTCTTAATAGTTCATAATACAAAGTTACACGTTTCAATTTAATGACAGAGACATTACAGTTTTCTGAAAACTTTTCTCAGTCCTTAGTTACTTCATAACCTACTTACATATTTTCCTTGGGAAAAACCAATTGGCATTGTACGTTATCAATGCTTTTTATTGATTTAATTCAAATAATTTATTATTGAAAATTACACTCCCAAGCGAACCTCCCATTATTTTATATAATAAGCTGTCTTAGCTACCTTTAACAGGTTTTGTAACTATGAATAAATAATAGGAGAATTTCCTTCGATAATTATTTTTCCTTCAAATTAATGGAGTCGGTTTACTTAAGAACTTCCTTCATTAATTTTTTATTTAGGTTAGTTACTAACTATTGAACAAAATATTTCGAATAAGAAAAAATACATTTAACAAAAACTTTCATCATCATCATCATCATAATTCACTATAATGTCTTCTAATAGAAGTGATTTTCTTAAATTTCATGGAATTTATATTAATATTTTTTTTTTATTTATTTAAATAACCATCATGATAACCTGGAGACTAATTTTAAAGTCCCAAAAATGTTTTGAGGGGGCTTCTCCAACGAGAAGACCTCTTCCACCTTATTTTAGGTTTATTGGCCAGTTTGTCTTTAGTCTTCTACTGGTTTTTTTCTTCCAATAGTTGTTCAAGTAGTATATTAGTATACAGTGTGGAAAAGCCAAATGGAATAAATTCATTATTTCGATTACTGTACATATTTATATAAAATCCCAAAACACGTCAAATTTAAATTATAAATTGACATTCTTTAAAGTGAAAATGTGATCCCTACCTTCAACCCCCTTTGAGTAACAGTTACAACCCCTAATTTTTTAAATGGGAAGTATAGGCTTGTGATATATCGTTTGAAAGGTCTCTTCAGTCTCTATCCAAAAATGTTATTGTTTCTAAATTTATTGCAAAAATTAACATAAAAAAAAAATAAAATAACTGATAACCGAAATTTGTTACAATACACTCAATATGTAATATTTAATTGTTCATAACGTAAAAAATATGATTGTCAATGAAGTAGATGTTCAAAATGCTCACCGCGAACGTCTTGGGGCAACATCCTAATCTTGAATAAAAATGTCTTCTAACGTTAATTAACATATCAGGCGTGACCGATCTAATCGCAAGCATTATTCGTTCTCTTAAGTCATCTAAATCACGTGGTTTAGTTTTGTAAACAATATTTTTCACATAGCCCCATAAAAAAAAGTCTAATGGGGTAAGATCAGGTGATCTTGCTGGCCATTCTATTGATCCTCGCCTCCCTATCCAGCGATTTGGAAATGTTAAGTTGAGTTACTGGCGGACATTGATTTGGTAATGTGGAGGTGCTCCATCTTGCTGAAACCATATGGTATTTGCTGGAACTTGAGGGTTTCCTGGATCAGGAAATAAATTTGCCAAACTTGACATCACATCATTTTGTAGTAGTGCTAAATAATTATCGCCATTCAAATTTCCCTCAATGAAAAAGGGACCAATAATATGGTTTTCAACAATCCCTGCCCAAACATTAACCTTTTGAGGGTATTGTGTATGGACCTCTCTTATCCAGTGAGGATTTTCCGTTGACCAGTAGCGGCAATTTTGGCGATTAGCATGTCCGTTAACGGAAAAAGTGCACTCATCAGAAAACATAACGTTTTCTAATTGGATGGTATTCTTATTCAACATTTCCATCATTTGTTCGCAAAAATTTGTTCTCCTATCAAAATCGTCTTCCATGAGTTCCTGAGTCGGTATCATTTTACAGGGATGCATTTTATTTTCATTTAATATGTTTAGTATCGATGTATGGCTGACATTAAATGTTGCAGATGCTTGTCTACTCGATGTATGTGGGTTTTCCTCAAACTCAAGCGTCATATCTAATTTGATATCATCACTCAGTGCATTGGCAGCTGTTTTTTTCATCTGCTTTACATGTCCAAATTCGCGAAATTGCTTCTCTATTTTACTAATTGTACCTTGGGATATAGGCGGCAAATTCGGAAATTTTTCATGAAATAGGCGAGCAACTTCCATTTGTGTTCGGGTGTTACCTCCGTAACCAATCATCTGTAAAACTGTTATTTTATGCATTTCTGTTAATCTAACCATTTTTATGAAATTCAAACGACAATTATAATATTGACAATATCCTGTAGTTATAATTATTACAAACCAATTTGCTAAGGCGTTTTAAATAAACTAACATTGCTATGATAGTTTTTTAAAGGATTTTTTTAAATTGATATTAAAAAAGAACACTGATTTGGTTTTTGCTTAGGTACTGTCTTATTATAAAGACTGAAACGGGAAATAGTAGTGTAGGTACTCTAGAGAATTTCGGTAATAAGATGATTTTATTTTTTTTATGTTAATTTTTACTTAGACCTATTTCAAAGTTCGCAGGAGTATATTAAGAATAATATAAAATCATTTTAAAAGGCTTTTAAAGATTATAGTAAGAATAATCAAGATAATCATAAGATCAATTAGAAAATAATCAAGTTATAACAGTATTAATTAATATTAAACTGCTTTACCATTACTTTGTCAGCAATTATAATCTTGTAAAGATGTTCTGAAGCAATTACTTAGTATAATTTGTTTGGACGTACGCTGGTATATTCATCAATTTTCAAACAAACGCCAAAATGCCGTTAAAAGTGATAAATTATGGAAGGATTGACAGTTATTTAATACAAAAAAAAAACATTGTAAATATCGTATATAGCGTTATAAAATGATTAAATTCGTCTTTGATGTTTTAGATATAAAATAACGAATATTGCATTTAACAATTATACAGGGTGGAGACCTTAACTGGAAGGTGAATACAGACACGTCAACGTTTTAATATATTTCTTACTTTTTGCAAGCAATTGAAAAAATATAGCCTTTCGGGGTTAGCTGAAACCACCCTCAATATGTTTTTTTTTTCAAATGAAACCCTGTGTCTTGTGACCCTTCATTACAAGGCTGATGGAACGAGGAATCCAGCGTGCAAATTTTAGTTTCTAGTGCCTTAGAGGGTTGCATAAAATCAAAACGTAATTAAAAAGTTTATTTTATTTTATATGTAACAAGTGCCCATAAGCAGGTAGTAATAATTTTTAGGTGGCAACAAATTTTTGGCTATACTGCCAATCAAACGAAAGAAAAAGTAATTTAATTATATAATTTTCTTTCCTTTATTCCACATTTATTACGCTGTTTAATATAAGCTGGTTATACTATCAAGCATTTATTGGAGATAGAGTTTCATTTCAGTTCACATAGTTTTCTTTAAACATTTACGTCTAGTAATTATTATTGACTAGGTAACTTCAGACCGACCGTTGCCAATATTCTTAAAGAGAGGAGGCACTTTGCTATTGAAATGGATTTGAGTGTTGACACATGTGACATTTGTTTTATTAAACTATCTGTGAATCTCAAGGTCTTTGAGCAGATTTAGTTTAAAGTTGCAATTAAACATATTATGAAGAACAGTAACATTCTCAGAAGGAGTGAAGTTATGATTGTTGAATTTAATATGATGTCCGAAAATATACTTATCTGGATATCTGATGTGTTCACCAGCTCGTATGTTGAGTCTTCTCTCAGTTTTCCCTATATAAGACGTATTACAGTCGTTACAGCTTAACCCTTTGACTCACGAGTTTTTGTTTCAAGAGTAAAAATTATATTTTGGTCATATATTGTCAAAATATGATATTTGCAAATACTTCGGACATTTTTTTGGAATTGACACCCCTAGTAGTACGAAAAAGTGTCTGCAATTGTAGACATCAGTAGTCGATGAAGCATATTATGATATTTATTGAAAAACGAAAGAACAATGGTTACATAAAATCAAATAT